CCATCTTTCCAACATCAGTTTCAGTCCCAGATTTGGCCTGCCTTCGTCCTCTCCAACTCCACCGCACCCGCCGGGGCTCTCTCCAGCCTGCACTTTGACATCTTCTCCAACACCATCGTCCGTTGAATTCGACACAGGCCAGAACCCAAAATATATGACGCAGATGACAATCACAGAATCAACTTCATAAACAATAAATCGAAGGTTAGAGATAGAGTTGGATACTACAAGCCTGGATTAAATTTGAGATACCCACATGGCAATCACGTCAGAATCAATGTATTATCTTGATTTCTGTCAAGAATTAAGCAATTTAGTGGTATTTTCTATAGAAAATTATTTAATTTCAGTTTGATTTTATACATTAAAAAAAAAAAAGTAAGTAGCAACCCTTGGGATGTTGAATCGATTAAGGAGTTGATGAACACGATCGACCCACAATTAGAGTTTGCTGGGAGTGGGAGAGAGATGATGCATGACTGCTTCGGTGGGGAGAGAGAAAAATGAAAAAGAAAAAGAAGGATTTGCACACTTCTTGTGAACAGTTGGCCAATCAGTAACATCCACGTAAGATTCGTATTTTGTCGGTTTTTTTGATAGTCGGGCGAAATAGCACTACCCTTTTATTTATTGCTTGATGTGTTTTTGTGATTGCAATTGAGATATGTAACAAAACTAATAAGGATTAACAAAATTTTGAAAAGTTAGTTAGTTACGAATTTGATATTCATTAGACATATTCACTCCCTTTCTAGGTCTAATTAACCGCACTCGCATTAACCTTTAGAGCCTTGGGTTACAGTCCTTAGTGTTTTAAATTTGGTATCAAAGCATATCAATTATAGATTTATCAATGTACTTATCAAAAAAAAAATTATAGATTTATCAATGTGAATTATGTGATTCAAATTATAATAGTTGGAATCTAAAATATTGATGTTGGTAATTAAGACATTTTTAAGACCTATTCACTCCCTTTTAGGTCTGGCTTGTATTTAGCACACACTTAATGTCTAACAGTATAAGAGCTTAGGGTGACACCCGTGACGGTCCTCCATCACCATAGACACTCTTGGTCATACCAATATAACTTTTTGGCTTCCACTGAGAGTACATCTTCGTGAATGCATCATCTCTAATCCCTCCAAAAGTTGGGAAAAAAAAAAAAAAAGGTTCCATAGAGTTAAGGGCTGGAAAAAATTGCCATAGCCACCTTAATCTGCTATAGAAGCAAGGAAACTGCACTACTGCAGTCCGTAAGTTTCAATAGTAGCAAGTTTTTGGCTAGCACAAAATACATCTCAATCTCACCAACAAATATATGTCACTTCAACCACAATGTTCCACCTTTTTATGGGAGGCATAACTAACACAACAAAATATGGCACAGCACACAGTGTTACATGGTATAAACTAATTCTTCTATGTAATAAGATACTAAACAACTCTCAGAACTTGATTGGTATTCTTTACCAAAGTCACCTTATATAGATGAGGATGTGGCTCAGTTTTTAATCCAAGTTTTGGGAAAAGCATCCTAAAAAATAATATGAGTAGGGCGGCCAGTGTCAGGAATTATGATACATGATGACATCACATCAAGCATGTAATTAGAGGATACTACACAAATATGGTTCCTTTCTAGGATCTTTATTTGCTTGCAAGATTTGTATCCAAGTACAAGTGATGCAGGACAGAAATGCTCTAACACCAAGTTAAGGTAGGACCAGAAAGAAAGCAGAGGATGAGATGATAGAATATGAAGTGAGGCTAGAAGAAAGGGGCTGAGAAAAGAGATGGAATAGATAGATTGAACAGACAGAGGGGTTGACAAAGCAAGAAATATGGAGGGAGAAGATCAGGGAGAGAAATCTGAAAATTAACGATAATCAATAATCAAAATCCTAATACAAGAAACAAACCTGAAGCGCCTCTTATATAAGCAAAATTAGAAGCAAGCCCTAAGAAGCCCTAAAAATTATAAAATATATATATATATATAAATAAAAAGCTAAAATTAAATATTACCAAAATAATAATTAAAAAATAAATAAGTAATCCTAATCTATCAAATCCCTGATTTTATCTATCTTTGCCCTTCTCCAAAAGTAAATGTGAATCACGTGTGGCTCATGCATTCAAGTCACATCTTGTTCTCCACCAATTCTCCCCGACTGAGAAAACTCTCCTACAAAGAGCCAATGCAGCGGTATGGGTCCAAAAAATCTGAGCCAACACGGCAAAACTCATCATCATCTATGCTCCATGTGACAACCTTTCCATCGAACAAGATAGTGTTGAATATATCCGTCATGAGAAGCATCACTCAGATAGTCAAGAATCAAGTCCATATACTATCCGGTGGAAGAACTAGTGTTGATGCTTACGAAGATATAACCTGATGCTGACGAAGAACTGCCCTTAACTTTGTATTGTAAAGGTTGAAGCTTCATTCTCTTTTACGTCCACAAACACTATCTTGATGTCAAAAAGCATTTAAATAGAAGCCTTTTAGGGACTGAACTGTAGCTTTTAAAGAAGCTATCAAGAAACCCAAATCTCTCTTCACATTTCTCATTATCTTTTAAAAGTTCTTCAAATTTGGATGAAAACTGTGTTAGTGATCGTACTGTAATATATAAAGAAAATTAACATCTGAAGGAAAGATATTTTGATCCAATACCAATACTGATGCAGGACCTTTCAAAATTGCATCATTTCAAAGAAGAGATAGATAAGAATTGATAGAAAAGGGCTTCTGGGAAAATAGTAGGGTTTAGTGGAGCTGCTTTCATTTTTTTGTGTGTTTTAAGTGAAAGACAACAAGCAGTTTTTTTAATAAATAAGACCACAATTTTCAATTATATTCACAAACTCCACAAGAAATGAGAATAGTCCTTCTAGACCTTTAAACCCAGAAAATTAATCCTTAACTTAACCCACACTAATCCAGACCTTAAACTAAAGCCTAATCAAATGAACCTCAAAAGACAAAATTACAAAACTAGTTCACTCCTATAGTAGCATGAGCAATAACCTACTAAGTTTTTTTTTGGAATGAATAACCAACTAAGTTGATACGAGCAGTAGCTTGCTAAAGGGTGTGAATCGTACTTGCTGCATTAGGTTAAGTACCACCAATTAACATATTTCTTACTTCTACCTTTAGAAACTAAGAAAATATAAATTTCTACAAATATTACTCAATATTATTTTTGATTAAGTAAATACTCATAAAAGGGTGAACCCAATGCACGAGGCTCCTGCCATTGCAGCGTCTGGGGAGGGTTAGATATACGTTGCCTTACCTTCGCATGCAAAGATGTTGTTTCCTTGTTTCGAACCCGTGACATCTAGGTCACAATAGGTAAATTCTCATACACCCCCACAAATGCCCATGTTAACAACTATTGTAAAGCATAAAACGGAAGCGAAAAGAAATTAAACGAGAAAATACAAAGATATTACGTGGTTCAGCCACTAGGGCCTACGTCCACGGCACAAAGAGCCTAAAGGGTTACATCACTTTTATAATGCTCTCTTAATTCATTCACAATACAATGGTGGAGGCTCCTTTATATAGGAGAATAAATTATGAGAATGGAAAGAGATATAAAACAGGAAACAAGGAGGATTTTTCTCCACAAATTCCCCTAGTAACAGTAAATCTTTAATAATATGAAACAACATAAATTACTAGAAGAATTTCCTCCACTGATTCCTCCATCAAATCTTCAATACTCCCCTTCAAGTTGGAGCATGAATGCCCAACTTGCCATTGAGATGATGAGTAACAACAAGTGTGAATGATGAAAGAGAGAAGAGAGAAAACGAAGAACAATGTTACCGAACACACCGACAGCCCAAACAAGTTAACAAAAAACTGCCAAAGACACGGCAAAGGCGAGGACAATACTACTGAACACACCGCTAGCCCAAACAAGTCAACAAAAACTGCCGGAGACACAACAAAGTCGAAAAACATTACTGCTGAACAAACTGGCAACCCAAACAAGTCACAATTAGCACCGAGAAACCCTTAGCAACATTTCAGATGCTAAGGGAATACCCCAAAATAGGGGTCCGAACCTAGGAAGAGAAATTAGGCTCTGATACCATGTTGTAAAGCATAAAACATAAGCGAAGAGATAAATAAAACAAGTAGATCACACAAATATTATGTGGTTCAGCCATTAGGGCCTATATTCACCGCACAAAGAGCCCAAAGGGCTACATCACTTTTATAATACGCTCTCAATTCATACTCAATACAATGGTGGAGGCTCCTTTATATAGGAGAATAAATTATGAGAATGGAAAGAATTAGAAAATTGGAAACAAGGAGGACTTTTCTCCACTGATTCCTCTAGTAACACCAAATCTTCAATAACAACCATCTACTTTAAAAGCTTAAACTGTTAGAGAGGGTGTAACTTAAATATATAAATCCTTCAACACGCCCCCTCACGTGTGGCCTTCTTTTGGTCCAACATGTGTTTTTCAATTTTTAATTAGGGCGACGGTGAGGTTTGAACCCGAGGCCTTTGGCTCTAATACATATTAACAATCATTTATTCCAAAAACTTAAGCTATTAGAGAGTGTGTAGCTTAAATATATAAATCCTTCACAGCCCATATGGGGCTCAAACCCTCATATTGTTACCTACACTTTCTTTTTCTAATCAAAGTAACTTCCTGGTTCACATGGTACCTAAAGCCTTAAATTTCGGGTTCAAAGAGTATATGTCTTATCTAATCAAGAAACGGCAACTGCATCATCAAGACATCTTGAAGTCACTCCCATATGCTTTCATCATTTTCTCCCTCTTCCACCACGTTTATCTTCTCCTCTTATCGACCACTATTTAGATAAACTGAAAACAAAAACTTATTACCTGTAGAACTAAGACTAACCATGTCCCTCACATGAAAATAATTGATAATATTCATGAACCAACATAATATTCAAAGTGAAATCTTCATTGTAATAATAACCAAATGCATAAAAATGCCTGATAATAAATAGAAATAATGAATGGGTTCCTCATTTATTGGCTAGCAGAACAACAGAATTATTGTAAAAGACTGTAGCCGGTGAGGTAGAAATGCAAGAGAATGATAGAAAAAAATGAACTTACAGAGACTATTCTCTTCTCAATATCTTCAATTAAAACAACAAAATGCTAGATAATAAAAAGAACTGTAGCTGGTAAGGTAAAAATGCAAGAGAATGATAGAAAAAATGAACTTACATAGACTATTCTCTTCTCAATATATTTGCTTAAGAGAAGCAGCCAATAGTGTACAAATGAGTATCTAATAAGCAGGAAACATAAAGATAGTGAGATAAAATTTAAACAAATGTCTGCAAGATGTGTCTGAGCAACTATAAAAACAGTAGGGAGAAAAATAAAAGCACAGCAAACCTACAACTAATCCATGTGCTACTCTTTGTGATTGACTGGTGCCATTTGCAAGCAGCATGATCCTATGGTTATTGAAGACTAAATGAACCAAAATGTATCTTGTCATGGTCAGCCACACATTTATGCCTCTTAATGAATGGAGAATTTAAAGATTGAGTGAGAGGTGGCTAATAACATTTTTGAATACTTCGATCTTTAAGATACTGCACATTTTTTCTCTTTTTATTTCAGCTTCGGTTTCAAATTGTCAGTCACGGTGGTTCAATCAGCATGGCATTGGTCCGTTACCCACTCAAATTTTTACATTTTAATTTATGCATTTTGCAAGGAACTGGCATCACATGTCAGCACATGATCTCTTTGATATTGTCAAAAGAACAGTATCAAACAAAGGAATTCGTTACAGATGGTTTATTTAAAAAAAATTAAAAAAAATAAAAAGAATGTAGGTGTGATCAACCCATCCAAAATAATAAAGATAAAATCAAACAAGTAATGAATTAAGCATAACCACCCCATAAGACTTCAAGTTTAACAGATTCGGCAGATTCAACTTTGCAGAAACATGGTATACTATTAATACTCTCTCACACATACACACATTTAAAATCTCAACAGAACTGTGAAATTCTGAAATCATTTCGATAATTCCACCATTGCAAACAGCTGCTTCTTATTGATTAGTGTTCATAACTCTCCCCCCATCTAGATTCAATCTTATATGTTCTTACTCAGGAGACTTCCCCCATGAAACATTTATCACTATTAGTTTGAAAAGATGAGTTGCACAAATGCTAGGCATCATCATATTTTTATTTTTATTTTTCTTATTTACAAGGCATCATCAAATTATAAGCTTCTGGCATTCAAATTAGTTTATATGCTTTGTCTGACTGTCATTAAGGTTCTAAAAGGAATGAATAATGAACCAGCTTCATAGCATCCGCCATCCACAAAATATTTATGGCATCAATGCAGTGCAAGATAGAATACTAAAATTAACATGCTACTACATGGAAAATACATGACAGTTTGGAACACCCAATAGAACTGTAAGCGATGAGATTCCCTGATTGATGCAAGTATAGGAGATCATATATTCCCATGACAACACAAGATTGAGGCTTACCCAAAAAAACAAAAAGATTGATGCAAAATAATTTCAGTACATGAATTTTCAATTGTCATTTAGTTGAGAGAGTCAAGTTCATACCATCAAGAACAATTAAATTAATGTTAATTTGTTATTAAAATTGGGATTTCAATCAATTTTCAGAGTTGGATATACATACACAGTAATTCTGCAGCTATTACATAATCTGACTTTTACCTTTCACCAAGCTACACAAAGTATTCCTCCAAAACTTGTTTAGATATCATCGTCATCGGCTGTAACTTACACGGAAAGCCCAACATCTGCAGTGATGCATCATACAGTCACCATGAATGCTAAAAGTACAACAGGGCAACCATACATGTGTATTCTGTTCAGAATTATCCGTATATGGTTGTGTTAAATAAATTCTTGATTGTGTACAGGATCTGCAGCAGGAAAATACCAATATGTCAAGCTCAGACCCTCATTTAATCTTGCAAGGGTCAGAGCTGCATCTGAGTGGGGATCAACTGGTTTATCATGGCCAAAAGAGTAGAAATGGCTGTATTAGTTGTGTCCAAATTCAATTGTCATGGCCTTCAAACCAGAATAGACTGGCCCAACTATATCTCTGGGAAACATTTATATCTGCACCAATGCTTTATTCGTCAAATGTGTTCATACAGATTTTCTCCAGCAGCAATGGCCAATCTTCTCCAAGTTGCTGTGGATTTAACTCCATTGCAACCTTAAAATCAAGCAAAGATATTAAGCAACGGGGTCTTGTTTCCTGCATAACTTCCACGGGTCCATTGCTACTCTGCATATGCAAGTGATTACTAGGCCACATGCCATTAATAAGCTTGCCTTGAACTTGCAATTTGTTAGCAGTGTTTCTCTTTGGCTCGTGTGCAGACCTCGCCCCAACCAACTCCATGCAAGACGTGATCAAACGCTTCAAGTACACGTCCAACATATCATTCAACATATTAGCACATTCTATAGAAACCCCTCCAAGGCCCTGTACTGCTGCAATCTGCTCCATTCGTTTCCTCAATGTCTCTGTATCTGACAACCCCCCGCTGTCAAAATAGCTAACAACATTACTAGTGCTTGCTACAGGCAAAGCTTTGTGGGCCCCACCTAAACTAGCTGAGCAGAAAGGAATTCCAAGAGGAGCAAGAAGAGGACTACTGGAGATATTCAAGTGGTTGGCCTGAATAAATTCTTCCCCATCTTCAACCACAGCTACTTCGAGTAGGTCTTTATTACGTAGAGAAACTGAAGCCTCTGTTGAATTCTTTATTTTAGGCCTTTCATTATCAGGTTGCTCAGCATGTCCTTGAGGATGCTGTATTGGTCTCTGATAATCGCATGGATTCAAAGTCCCATTTTCCACAACGGTCTTCAGACCACTATCTTCGGCAGCTGTTGATTGATGTGACGCACCATCTGCCTTTCCATTAGGTCCAAGTGGGCTAGGTCGATCCCTGAGCTTCCGATTGTGAATTGCAGACCTTCCCTTTCGTGGCGACATCGGCAAAACAACCCCATTCGACCAAGTCGGTGTCCTTGGACTTTGATTCGGAACCACAGACCCACTTTGTTCTTGGCCATCTTCTTTAAAAGAACTTTTCCCTGCTACTACAACAGGTTTTGTGGGTCCCACTTCGTGAACTAGTGGCGGTGTCTTTGCATGACAAGCATTCTTTAAGATTGAACGTATAAAATGATTATGCAACGGCAGATTCTCCCTCCCAAGCACTCGAAGGCACAACCTGTCAAACTCACCCTTACTCAATTTCTGGCTCAACAACCTATTCAAGTAATAGAAATATCTCTTCGACCTCTCAGGCCCAATTTTCTTCACTATCTGTGCTTTCAATTCCGCCACATCTATTCGAGAATTCTGATGTGGTTGCATTTCTCAACCCGCTCATATACCACCAACAATTACTACATATAACCAGTTGAAAACCCCAAATTCGATCTGAATTATGGTCAATTCCTTATCAAAACAACACCAAAGGATTCATCCACACACACAGCACACAATGCACAGTGGAATCTCATCTTCACAAAACCAAAACCCTAGAAAACAAATGACAACCCTCCACCAGAGATCAAACTCACTAAAACGCCCAAATATCACTTACCCACATTCAAATTCTTCGTAAATCAAAACCCTAACTTGTCATCACTAAAAAAACACGTGTTGTGAGCTTCCAACTGTAAAAACCGTTAAAATTGATAACTGCACCCGGCGTAAAGACACTCGTTTGTTCAAAATTCGACGTCTCTGCAGTGACAATTTATGCTGTTAAAGCCTAGATCACAAAACGAAGTTGAATACAAAGAGATCGACGCTGACTTGAAAGGTCGTTCGGATTTTACACACACAGAAAAAATTGAACAACAATAACAGAGATAGAGAGTAATCAAATAACAAGCTAAGAATTGCAAGTATGAGAGGATTGTTTAAGTTCTAACCTTTGAGCTTCGAATTTCTTGTAGAAAACAAAGAAAAACAAAAAGTCTTCAAAAATTCAGTGACTTGGTTGTTGTTGTTGTTGTTTACAGGTCTTCTTCTCGCAACTTCTCTCTTCGAATTCGATTGCTCCTTCGCTTTGCTTTGGCTTTTCTCTCTCTCTTCTTTGATTGTTCACAGCATTGTTTTGTTTTTGAATTTTCTTTTTCGTTGCTGATTTATCGCGCTCTTCTTTGTGAAATTAGATTGCACCCTCCATCGCTGCTAAAACTCTCTCTGTCACGGTCTCAACTCAATTTTTTTTTTTTTTTTTACTTATTAAATTATTTTGATTTTTTTAAAATTCAAAATATATTATCTTTCATAAATGGTACAAAAAGTTGAAAATTTATGTTTTGTGTTAGTGGTTTTATGACAAGGGAGTAACATTGCACTTCTGAATAATTGCAGTTGAGTAGGACTCTTTAATTAGTAACTTGTCGAGTGTATGAGATATAACTAATTAATTAACTCTAGGAAGGTAATTGTAATTTACTTTATTGTTTTAGGAATATATATCCATTAAATAACTAATAATCAAATAATTTTACTATTTCTTCTAGTAATTCTATAAAAATCTCATTGCACTATTATTATTAAAATAATGATATTGTATATACAAGTGAATTGTGCAATTCTGAGGACTAAATATATATATATATATATATATATATAAAGCAAATTCAAAGGAAACAGGTAGTTTCTGTATAGAAATTTTACGCCTTACTGAAAAAGGTTTTGTAAAGCTGATTTTGTGAAAATTTTGTAAACTTATAATTTTATCTTTCTTGCAGAGCAGGACGGACCTAGAAATTCGGCTAGGGGAATAATGAAATTTTTAATAATTTCAGGGAGGTAATAGTAATATGTTATGGGTATATATATATATATAATTGAAATCCATGTTGCCTGGGGATGGAATCGAGCGAGTTTGGGTTCAGTCATTACCCGCCTCCGTATCATGTAAGATATTGTTTATTTTGCATGATACCCTCTCAATGTTCACGATTTTGCTCAAAACACATCTACATAGCGAGATATCCCCATATATAACTCTTGGGCTTCGTTTGGAATTGGAGAGATAATGAGGGAAAATAAATGAAATGATAGTGTAAATTGTGTTTGGGTTGTTTGAAATGAGAAAGGAATATATGATGTCCTCCCAAAAATGAGAAGATTAAGAGGAAAATGATAGTGTGTTAAGTAGTATTTTATAATTTTGAAATTGCCCATACCAACCTAAAAATGTCTAATTAAAAGGGTGTGATAGTAATTTTGTTATTATTCTTTCTTTCTTTTTATCTCCTTTATTTTTTCCAAACAAGAATACTATTATTTCTTTTATTTCCCTCCTATCTATCTAAACATGAATAGAGTTTATTGCTATTATTTATTTCTTTTCTTTTCATTTCTCTCATAACTAATGTTATCATTTCCTTTTTTTCTCTCTCTCCTATGTATCCAAATGGAGCCTTAACAATTCTCCCCCTCTTGTGATCACCACCTCTTGGGACGAGCGTCCTCAATAGGCTGACGTGCATGGGTTTGTGCATGCCCCCTATATCTAGTTGGGTATTGGCTATAATACAATTTGTCACCACCTGCCTGGCACCTTTTACATGATTAAGGGGTGTCCGTATATGTGTGTGTGTCTCAATAACTTTCCCCCCTAGTAATGTAAAACGTCACAATCACCCCCTCTTGGAACCAATGTTCTTATTGGCCTAACCCGTATGAGCTTATGCTTCCCCATCACATCCCCCCCCCCCTCCCCCGGGCGACCGAACGGGGTAACGAAGCTAAATTTATGAAATCATCATTATTTCTCTATACTCCAAACAAAAATAAGAACATGCAAATACTTAACTAAAAATTGTATGGTAATAAGCAACATTGAAAATGCCAATTTATGGGATGGAAAAATAATATTTTAAAACAAGTTTTTAATTTTTGAATAATAAAATAAATAAATAAAACTAACACTAAATAGTTGTGATCAAATGATGAGATAAATGTTAAGGAATGAGAATCCACCACCATGGATCAATATAAATAAAATAAAATAAAAATTATTTTTTATATGATTTTCCTCCAATAAGTAAAAATACTCAACCAATTGATTTACAACTTAAAAAGATGAAGGAACTATGCCATTAGATTACTTGGTTATTTATGAGAAATGTTCTTTGCAAAATTTTCATGACTAACTCTTGTTAGGAAATTAATAGTGGTAGGCATTCTCCGAATTACCATTATTTGGCAAACATGAAGAATCCTTCTTCTATATTTTTGGCGTCCAAACTCTATTGTGAGGTCTTTGTTACTGAGATTCATAAAAGAATACTCTCAAAAGGGAAATTATACAAGAAATGAAATATATATTTTTATATTTCAGCCATGATTTCTTCATCACTCCCTTGAAAGGGGTGTTTAAGTTAGTATATTAATGATAAAATGACACACAAAAATAAAAAACAAATTTTCATTGAATGAGAAGAATTACAAGAAAATATGGAAGAAAATAACAAGCTCTCTCTAACTTTACTATATTTTACACTACTCTTCTCTCTCCCCCTCCTTCCTTATGAGAATCCCTATTTATTGAGTTTAGAAGGAAAAACTTAGGAGGGAAACAAAATTAAAATCAATTTACATAAGGGAAAATGAAAAAAAAAAAAATCAAAAATATATTTAAATCTTGCATATTTTCAATTTGAATTGATTTTTGTTGCTGATTTGTTAGAGCGCCAATTTGAATTTGAATTGATGATATTTGATTTTAAAGACTTTTTCCACCAATCTAATGTTAATTCAATTTTTAATTTGAAATAATTGGCCGTGTATAATATAAAAAATAGAACATTTATGTTGCAATAAAGTCTTGAATTCAATACCTCTTGTAAAGTTGGTTATGCACTAGACCATCTCTCATACATTGCTTCTAATGCTCTTCTTCATCATTTTCATACAAATTCTCATATTTTTGCCTCTGTTTTTTTTTCTTCTTCTTATTCCGAAATTAACCCCTAAACATGAAAAACAAGTATAAGAACGATTAACTAATATAAAAGATAAATTAAATATATATTTTGAATACAAAATAGCAATTTGTGTGCACTTATCACAACCTTGGGATTAGTTATGACGCCATTTGTCACGACTCACCCCACACCTTATAAATATTGTGTGCTTTGTACATTTTCCTCTTAGTGCTCACAATTTTGCTCTAGATACGTCTACATAATTAAGGGGTGTCCACACGTATAAGTCTCAACAACTTCTTCCCCAGACAATATTGGTCATCACAGGATCCTTTCCATATTCCCGCCACCATTCTTACCCAAAATCGTTTATCAAACCTCCCTTTCCACTTCCGCTTATGTCTTAGTGTTGGGAAACGTACAAGTTTTAAAAACTTTTTAAGGGATTTTCATACATAGATCTTGATTTATCACATAGAGACAAGTTTTATGCAAAAATAAAATAAAAAATGATGTATCATTCAATTAATAGATTGAATACTTACATCAAAGGTTTTAGTAAACCTTTAAATTTTTCTTCTAAAGTGAATGTTCTCACTTATTGTAGATCCCTTAACAAGATCATTTTTCCTTCTTTTTTATAGTGATTTTCCCTTTAGAAATCACCCATATACCTTAATGAATGACGTTATAGGCAAGGCTTGTGGTAGCCTCCTTTATAAGAGAAAGCAAACCCTACAAATAGAGAGAGAAAATATATTCATTTTCCTTTCAAAAGTCACTCCTAAAATATACATAGACCCATGTATATATTGGCAAAATAAAGATAAGGAAAGAAAACAATATATCCTTCTCAATCTCTAATTCACATATCTCAATTCTAATAGGACTCCAATATCAACTTAGGCTATGGGCGAGAATCCTTTTGAGCTTACTATTTTCTTGGCTACTATAAATTAATAATTGGTCTGGTCCATTAAACCATGGACCCAATTCAATTAATTCATAAATTAATTTATACTCTACTAAAAAAAATTAATTGCACTCCAATTAAATAGTAAATAACATCTAAGTCAATGTTGCACTTTGACCCCTATATGCATAATTATTTATCAGATTATAAAATCATCAATCCAACAACATAATTAATATAATTATTTTGCCACCTTTGATTATTTCCGGCTTGATCATAATAAAAGTTTGTTTGACAAAAAGAATAATTTACTAAATAAATATATAGAAAATATTTTGTCTAAAACATACGAAAGCCTTCGAATTTAATTTGTGATCAATAATAATCAATATAAAATAAATACAAGTAGCATTGATGCAAATATTGAAAATATAACTCTCTAATTATTAATTACATAACTACCCAAAGTGCCGATCTATGGATCCCAAAGTATCCGCCGAACAAATCAAAGTAATTATTAATTAATAAAAGAGTCTATACTTCTCTCATGCTTGATAGTCAAATGCCATGATAATGATAGGGAGCAATTGTATACGACAGCTATCACAATATATCTCAACCTAACGCGAATCTAGTTCAAGCCTTAATTAATAATGAGTCAATCCATAATTGTCGACTATGAACAATTTATGATTACTATTTATGTATTGATCGTCATCACACACACACACACACACACACACACACACACACACACATATATATATATATATCTTGTAATCAAGTGGACAATACCAATTCCATAATGAATCGAAACATAATACATGGAATTCACCAATTATATAAATCCTAAATATTTCAGATATGTCAGGAATATATGTCACTATAATCCAAATAGGAATTTGTTATGCCAGGGCATATAAATCCCAACATTTAGTTCCCCCACTGTGTACAATTGGATCTCCAAACACTTTTTCCCCTTAATTTTTTCATTCAATTTTTTAAAAGGCATGTTTAATAATATAAATCAAATAAACATTCTTAACCAAATGACATCAACAGGGATAAGTTTGAAAGCTAAGAAGCGCAAACACATATAGGGAACACCGTGTACATTACGATACAGATTCAGCAATATGACAAATTTTTAAAAATAAATAAATAAGGCAAGGATACGTCTCAAAAACAAATAAATAAAAATATATTATTATACAAAAATATTTTATTTTCAATTTATCAATAATACTATATACATTCTAAGGGATGTCACCACTTTTTCTTTTATTGTTCTATTTCTCCTTCTTTTTTTTTCGCTATTTCTCATTGATTTGACTTGCATTTTAATGAGAAGTG